TACATCAATATCAGGTCAATTATGCCATTCCACCGGACATCGCCACGCCTCATCTATGAGCGGTTTAGCCTAGGGGACGGCGAGCGCCTGCCTGATGACGTCATTGCATACATCCATGCAGCTGATACCGCTTTCTTGTCCACATCCTACGTAGCCGCCCAGGATGATGAAAACACTTATCCATCTCGAGTTGGTGTCAATCATAGAGGGGGTCGCCCCGGATTCGTTCGAGTCAGACCTTCCGATGGGAAGACTCTCGTGCTTCCGAATTATGCTGGTGAGAAGAACGATAAATCGCAGAGCGAGTCTCTAATATTTATATATAATACACAGGGAATCGCGTGATGAACTCGCTTGGTGATATACACATCACGCCAGTTGCTGGAATCGTTTTCCCTTCATTTTCCACCGGATCAATCCTGTATCTTACCGGGAAAGCTGAGAACCTGTATGGCGCTTCTGCGCGAGCAATAATGCCAAATATGAATATCGTCTCCACCATCCGCGTCACTGGATTCTCCTTTGTCGAAAACGCCATTCCGTTGAGGGAGACAGGACCATCGCAACGTAGCCCCTACAGCCCACCCGTCTGCTACTTAGCAGAAGAAAAGCCACCATCTGTATCATTTGCGGACATCACCCTTAACCTGATAAAGACGCGAGTGCTAAATGACACTCTCATGACCCTCACTTTTGAGTCATCACGACCTGTGGAGATCAATCCAAGCCAAAACTGCGTGCTGGAGTTGTCGGAGTTCCTACGCAAACGCTCACACGCGTTGTTGGACTGGGAGGAAGATGAGAGCACAGTGAACGATGACTGCGTGCGTACCTGGACGGTATCCATGCCTCCAGCGCCAGATACACCATGCACTCTCTCTCTCACAATGAGAGCGATCAAAGGCGGCCTTATTACTCCAATTTTATATCAGCTTGCTCGGAGTGTTGATCCGCAGCTGACTGGAGAAGAAATTGACGTCGCAGGCTTGAAAGTCTGCGCTCGACTACGAGGAGTCGGAGGCGATCTTCCTGTCCCAGAGCCCCTAGCAGCATGCGACGGTGGGCGACGGCTGCTGTGGATCGCTGGTGGAATTGGCATCACGCCTTTCCTAAGCTTGACTCGCCATGTCACAAACCTCGCTGCCCGGGGATTTGGCATCTGGGATGTGACGCTCGTCCTTGCAACGCGGGAGCCGGAGGTCATGCTCGGGTTAATTCAGGCAGCGTTCGTGAACAAGCCATCCTGCAAAATCGACGGCTGCCAGTCGGCCCCCAGCCTTACATTTTCCATTCATGTCTACTCCCCAAGGCAATTCAAGCTGCTCGAGCCTTTTCCGCCGTTCGTTTCCCTGATCCCACATGAAGGACGCCTTGACGACAGCGGAGCTCTTTTTGGCAATGTAGACGCAAAGGGTCGGGAGTCGCATATATGCGGCCCGTTGCCTTTCGTTCTCAATGCTATGAAGTCGCTCCGAGCTGCTGGAGTAGATCTAGAGCGCGTAAAGCGAGAGAGATTCACATATTGAGAAAGAGGAAGCCATGTATTGGGATAGTAGTTACTTCATGGGTCAAGAGATCTAGGCTAGGGGGTCTTCTTATGAATTCGTAATCTCGGAAGAGTATAACGGTTGCTCTAGCGCTCGATATTGGTGTAATGGTAATACTCGCACTCTGTTGGCGCCACCATGGCTCTGGATATAGTATACAGCAGTCAGTCGGCAACTTAGTCAAGTGTCCGGATAACGATCGATCGAAGTTGCGGTATGCGGAACGCCACGAAGGCAATGGCGGAATGCGGCTAGGATTCTACGGGGGATGGGAGATTTGTGATTTGTGATACTACTACTAGGTACCGATGATCCATAGCTAGACCACTCGAGGCTTGTGAGTCACGGTGTAGAGCTTCATACACGTTCATACATAGAGATAACATGTAGCACACCACTAGCACACCATCGCACTGTTTCACAATGATCCGTGTCGTGTTTATCATGATCCACCTGGCAAGGCGACTCGGATCGAGATTGCAACTTCAATAGATTCGCGAAACTCACTTTACACTGATACACAATGTATTGGTATACGTGACATGCCAGCAGACCGTTCATCCTTTTGCTCCTCATACAGGAAATGTATTATGTGGAGGCACACCAATACAAGTGCTCCAGGGTCGGTTCGAGATGGCCTCCGAGATCCCCATATATTACCTCGCGATGATAATGGCTGCGTGAATAAATGAAAAGACTTGTTGTGATGTAGATGTACGAACAATCGGAGGACATGATTCGTGCGTCGACTGGCGGAGTGGTAGTATAATAGAATAACGGAAGAAGCCGAATAATCTTAATTCTGTGTCGCACACTCCTATTAATGTGTGAACTACTGCTATTGTATCTCGTTATACTGCTTGGAACCTAAGTTACAATAAGACTGTTTTCCGTCACGAGTATTGGACTTGAAAACCAGGAGCCTCAAGGCGCACTCAATGGGCCGAGACTCCAGGAGACTTCTTCGACGGCCCGAGACGCGCAGAAATAGTCCACATGATGACCGCGGCTTCTTTCGAACAAAGTTGAGACAGCCTCCGAGTCGAGATCACACTCATACAACTGTCCAGATGATGCCATCACTGTTACCCTGAGCACATCACTACCAGACTCCAGCCTCGGAGTAGCACCCCAGGACATCTCACGGCTCAGTTCGGCCGCGGTCACTGGTGCCAATGCATCGGCCAATGTCGAACGTTGATGGCTCTAGCGACGCACGTTCCGCTTCGTAGACTCTAGCATTCAAAGATCGAGGCCATCTTTCTCCCACTTGATGCATGAGACACCCGATGGCGTGTCTACCCCTTCCCAAATCAATAATCCTGCTACCAGAAAAGCGGCTAAGTGAATGATCATATGTACCATAAGTGTCGTGGTCCACTTACAACTCACTCGATATCTTAGAGGATTTTACTGCATCGAATGGGGGAAAACGGCACGAAGGTGCCACATCTCAGTTTGAGGCATACTGGAAGGTTTGTCTGTTGTTGTCATATTCGCTTCGTAATGTTCCTAGTCGAGAATATGATATCCACGGTCTTACCGTGACACCCCTGGATACTGCCAAGACACGCTGGAATTCTCAATATACACTGCCTTGGATCATTGTACATACACACTGATTCATACTACACGTGCATACAGTCACTGTATATTTGTGTATGTGCGTGTACATCGCACAAGTGTCCAAGATCTTTTATGCAAATCATTACTACCAATATATAATGTATGAAACCCATGTGATAGAGCAAAAAAGTTACACGAGATAGTATCAGATTCGAGTGTGGCAAACGCAATTGATGGCGAACAATTGCAAAGTTTCAAATATAGGGGATTACTACTCCGGAGCCCAGCTGTCTATCACGGGATTATGGCTGCAGCGCAGCGTTACGACGCAGAAGCGCTTTTAGATAATGAAATTATTCCTCATACGCGAAGCAGTAGTGGGAAGGGAGCTGCAGCGTTCTCAAGGCTTGCAACATGTCAACTGAAAATTCCTTGGATACTAGTTCTACAAATCATGCTTAGATTGAAAGCTAACTTCTCTATTTAATACAGACTCGAGCACCATTCACAATAAATTCCTGTACACTGTCTCCGAGTCAGTAGGACGAAAGATTACAAACAAAAGTTAAACCATACCTGTTCGAGTTGGGTGATTAGGGGGGTCTTGCACCAACACTCAAAGTACCCGGAGTGGTGGCCTTGACTGCCTCCAACTTATTCATTTTCTCCATCCAGTTCACCAATCTTGGAGAAAGCAGTTCGCCCTCCGGAACTGCTTTCAAATCTGCAAGCAGTGGGAACAAAAAGAAGTCCGCCCAGCTCAGCTGGCTTCCGAACACGTAGCCCTCATCTGCCATCAGTTCTTCCACTTGACTAAGCAATCTTTTAAGATGCTCCACAGCTGGTTTTATTTGTTCGCGAACCGCAGAATCTGTAAGTTTGCCTCCGTCGATCGCAGCTACACGGGGTTTCACGACCCCTTTCTCAACAGCAGGGAAACCTGAAGCATGAAATCAGTATCGTAGCATTCATGTATCTAACTGAGATTTCAAACCATGTGCTCCAACAAGACTAACAAACTCCCACAACTGTTCCTCGATGATTGCCTTCCCGTGACCCGGTGAGATAAGTAAACTGGGTTGTGGCGCAATCCTGTCAATGTAGCGCGCGATGGCAGAGGTCTCGCGCAATTTCAGGTTGACTGTCTTGCCATCAATCTCGTGGATGACCAGGGTGGGCAGAAACCCGAATGGATGGTTATCATATGCTTTGTCCGAGTGTGGGACGCATCTAACTTGGGTGAAGGGTATCCCCTTATGAGCCAATGCGAGAGTGATAGATCGGGTGAACGTGCTGAATGGCGTCCCGATGATAGTGTAGAGAGGTGTGGACATGGTTGGTGTTAGAGTGCTTGATTGCACTACTCAGCTGATTTTAATCACCTCGGCTAGTTGCTTAATGTCCACGCGAGCACTGGTAGAAGCTCGACTCGTTCAATGATGGTGAGAACCTGCTACTTGGAAGACAAGTATTTGATTTCGACCAACGTGTGTGTGCGAAAGTAGTGACAACTTGATGACAATCGCGGAAACATGCCATCCTTGTCGCATGACCGAGCCAGACAGTAGAAGGATAGTGTGTTACGTACTAGGCGCACCGGTGGCCTCTCGGAGTCAGTCCTGATTTCAATATTCAAATTTCAATCTCCGATCAACTCTTGCTTATCCTAAAGGCACCACATAAGCAGCACATTTTTCATTAACACAAGGAACACCAAATTCAAGCTATTGAGTAAAAAGTACAACAAGAAGGCCCAGCCCACCACCTAGTAGTATGCTAGTTAAACAATTTCAAATTCGACGTGTAACATCGCATTAGGAAGTGGTTATAATTTGCTGTGGAGATGATTAATCGGAGGTAACTTGATCGGGGGCCATCAGCATACCTTTACGGAGCAATGAGCTCGGAGTCGCTGAGTCTCTCATATGGACACGGCGCCGGAACATTCTCATCCAGCAAGTAATACTGCTTGGATTCCCGCGATCCTTCGTCGCCGTAGTTCTTCAGCTCGGGGCTGACCGGGATGGGATCGTACTTGGCAAGGAGGGCACGAACTTTTGAAAGCGCACCCGCCCGCTTTGCATCAGTGCTAAAGAGAATGTCGAAAATCCACTTTGGCTGCATAACCATGGTCACGCCCGGCGCATAACGCGTGCGCCTCACTTGGTGGGCCGGGGTTTGAATGACAGTGAAGAATTGTTCTCCGCCGAAGCAGAAACACCATCTGTCTGTGTCGATATCGCGGGGTATGTCAGAAGGCCAGGGCTTGTCATCAAGCTTGGCGAGACCGTTGAGAAGTTCCCAGAACAAGGTATTGTATTCTTCTATTGTTCGTGAGTTGACCTCGTTTTGCTTGGCAAGAAGAACGAGGGAGGTGTTGGGGCCAAGCTGGCGTGCTTGAGGAAGATATATGGAAAGCCCCTTGGCAATGGTACGGATATGGCGTGGGTCTGACAGGTCATCCGAGTCGACGAACAAATAGAGCTGGTCATCTGATTTGAAACCCTTTGTAGCGTAGACGCAGGGGAATACTAGTTCTTCATCCAGGAGGACTGCCTTGTAATCTTCGTATGCATTGCGCTGCCACGTTCCTTCAGGAAATGCGGCAGTGACTTGCGCTCTGAAACGAATGAAATATCAGACTACGACGGCCTCAAAAAAGCGCACACATCCGTACCTTGTCAAAGGAATACCCTGTTGGTCGTTCTTTTTACTGCCAAATGTAGCTTGAATAAAATCCTAGTAGTCGTCGATCATCAGTTCATTCATAATCGATGACCAAATATATCTGATACGGACAATGAGGGAGGATAATATCCTCTGGAGTGTCTTCGGTACACCTCGAGATTTGATCGAGACAACATTGGCAAGAAGTATAAGTATAACGCCGCCAACGAGCTGTGTAGCTAAAGTGTAGACGTCAAACATGATTAAAAGTGTAGTGTTGAAGATTGGAGTGCAGGAAGCTGGAAGCTGAGGAACTGAGGATTGTACTGAGGAATGTCTGGCAATGTTGGTAGAGTTTTTATAGGCCTCAAAATCCAACTCTGACGATGCTGATTCGTTGTCCAACTGAGAAGCATCATCACAACCCCAGGTCAAATGATTGCCTTGTGAACCAGGTTGTGGGCGCGGCGTGACTAGACTGCGGATGACAGCACGCATGGGTGTACTTCCCATATAATGAGACTTACTATGTTAGAGCATCATCGATGACGCCGGAACAGTGAGAATATGGACGCAGCGATGGTCACGGGGAGATCTCACTGTATACCAGTTCTGTAACTTGGGTAAGGTTTTTTCTGATTAGCTATGCGCAGTGCAACAACAGCTGGCGTCCGAGATTGTGACCTTTCGGTAACTTACTTCGTTCCAGTAGTTCGTACATGATTTCTCCATTTGGAGATCGAGAAAGCCAAGAAGAGTTCCTGACAAAGTGCGCCACGATGTTAATCACCTGAAACGAGACGGACTACATCCGGGGTCGAACCCCATTCACGACATATCATCAAAATCCCCCGAAACAAGCCAACTACAAACCAGAATATGGCTAATTAGTACTTCCCTGAGAACACCAGCTCCTTTGAAGCGGATTCAACAATATTCAAGTTGGCTCACCGGATGCAGTGATATGGTCCGCTCATGAGTCGATCCGAGGAGAACAAAATATGGAACGGTGCCTTAGCGGAGGTAATATCAGTGAGTGCAGGCCCGGGTTCATTCCGGACCTTGGTATCTTTGCCATCACAACTAGATGCATCGTCAAATGGTCAACAGTACTTGCAATATGGGTGTGCGGAAATATTAATGACAAACGCAGCAATTTTTGAAACACCAGTTTACCTCGGATTGTCGACAAGATCATCCGAAATTCCAGGCTCCCGCATTCGTGGCAGCACCCACTACCTCGAGCCTGCAGTCACATGTCGGCCGTCTTCCAAAAGAGCCCCATATGACACAGTGCAAGCCTAATTTTCGGCGTGATTAGGATTTTGTATGGAGGAAGCTTGAGAACCAGGTGTTGTCTCCATTAGGCGCGTGGTAAACTTGGGTAACGCCAAGAGGTATATACAACCATAGACCTGATTTTCACATACGCTTCCTTCTGATAATTACGAAATATTTACTGTCGTGCTCTGATTCTACAATTTCCATATGCGTTTTTCAGGCTCCCTTTCCTTGTCTACGAAGACGGTGTAGTCTGCGACGTTCTCGGCCCGTTCAAGTCGAACTTCCTCCACTTGCTAGCGCGCGTACACGAAGACATCACAGTGCAAAGGCATCCGATACAATTTCCGCGTCTGTATTGGCACACCACGGTATTCGTGTTGACAGTCGATTTGAGCAAACCGTATAAGCGCCGTTATTGCATCGCTGGTTGCCACTTACGGATGATGCATCGATGATGTCAGTTGCGCCGCGGCTACCAAGAGTAATCCTGTCGCGTGGACGCGATCACAGGACCAGAAGAGGGCTCTGGCAAGACAGCTGTTCGCCTACGATGACGCTGCAAGGACAGGGCTGTTCGCTGTGGCCGTATGGGAGTAATACGGCCACGTAATATGGCCGCCGTTTTAGAAAAGAAAAGTACGATGTGCCAGCATAGGTATCGCCATTCCTCTAAAGAAATCGGTTGCGTATTCATGAGACCAAGAACAGATAAAACAGTTACCATGACATACTACCGAAGAGATGATCCGTATTTTACAACGCACATGAATATAAAACGTCGTCTGAACGTGCAGTGGAGCTCGAGGATGAAAAGAAGCCTGAGATACGGAAATAAAATCCGGAAACACCGATCACCCAAGTAAACCTTGATCAGATTCAACAAATTGCGGTGGCCGCATCTGACTTTCCTTCCTTTGCTTTGAAACCAGGAAGTTCGAGTTAGCCAATTGCACTCGCGACCAGTCGCTTGAGAGCTCGACGTGTCAAACAGGTAACTTAGCAAGCCAAGCTCTAGAACACATCAGCGTCACGGCGCTCCTTCAACATTCCAGAAGGAGCAGCCTTGGAGCAGCCTCTATATTTGCAATCTGAAAACCCCATATCCGGCACCTCCCCCACCTTAGCCTTTACGCACTTTCTTGTACTATCGTGCGCGACCCTCGGACCGTTTTGTCATGCAGAGGTGCCAGCGGTACACTGGGCCGTCCCTCCCGCATCCTCCTAACTCATTCATTGTACCCCTGAGGCCATGTGTTCATCAACACTGCATCCCCTGAGACCAGTGTGGAGTGTACTGCGGACAAGTCGAGTGTCACTTCTCTCGGTGATCAAAGTTGTTACGCGAGCTTACTAGTTTCTCCCATCATTCAGACCTTCTAAGAAACTCTCCCACCCCACGCTTGTCTTCATACTCACACGGTCTTCCTATTTTTTTTTTTGTAATTACTCTTGTTCAATTCAAAATGCATCTGATTGTATTTCTATTGATAGATAATCGAAGGTAGCAACCATGGAGTTTTGTCATGCACGACCACTGTGTGACTCTGTCAAATAACACGAACTAGCTCTGGGTTCAGAAAGTTATGAGATCTCGCGTCATACGAACAGAATCGCGTCTTAGAAGTCAGCAAGATGAATGTGGAGACAACTGGATAGTCCCTGGGTTTTTACGATGACAGTCAGATGGTTCTACATCATGCTGCCTACCATGTGACTAGCCCATAAGTAGAATTGAATTAGAAAGATATACTATAGTGTGTTTACACGACCCAACTCCCAACGTATGCAGGGCATTAGGCAGTTGTCAGGTGGGCCGGATTATAACCAAGGAGACCGACAGCCTGTCAGACTCAGCGGTGCCGAGGAATCTCATGACTTCTCTCCGCTTCTAGTAGTATTTGCAGTGTATCTTACATCTCCCCACACACGCGAAGTTTAGCAAGATATTTATGACTTCAGACATCCACAATATGATGACCTTGGAGCTGCGTCCACCCGCGTGTGTCTCGCGTGGTTCTTGTGTGCCAGTATAACATAGCCACATCGACATCGGACCGTATATACCATACGGTGCTAAATATGCTATTTTTACCAATAAAAACACCACACTATACATACGCACTGCACTAAGTATCGCACCAATTCCATAGAATCTCACGCCCCTTTCTTTCCTCTTACTATTATCTAATCCCTACTGGAGATATGGCAGACACAAAGGTTTGGTTTAGTGGGTGAAAGCGAGTTCATTGGACCTGCCAAGAATACTGAATCCTGATATCTCACATCTAGTTACTGGCGCATCGTCGGGGTTCGGGAGATCAATGACTGAGCTATTGCTCAACAAGGGCGACAAAGTCATAGCGACACTTCGCAATCCTGATGCTTTATCAGATTTATCAGCACAATTCTCATCGTCCCAGCTCTTAGTCATTCAGCTTGACGTGACGAACAGCGCGGGAGTATCAGCTGCATTTGCAAAAGCAAAAGAAGCTTTTGGAAGGATCGATGTTGTGTTTAATAATGCAGGTCAAAGTGTAATGGGAGAGCTTGAGTCCGCGAGCGAGGAAGAGGCACGTGCGATGTTCGAAGTGAATTTCTGGGGTGCTATGCATGTGAGCAAGGAAGCGGTGAAGTTCTTCCGAGAAATGAACAAGCCAATTGGTGGGAGACTGCTACAAGTCTCGTCAAGGTTGGGATTGGTAGGCGGCGCTGCGGCTGCCTTCTACAGTGCATCGTGAGTATTCTGTATAATGCGATATACTGTATTCAAGTCATAGCATTGCGACAGAAAATTTGGCAGGTGTAATCACTTTTTGACAGTGGAGATGCTTACCGCATTATCTAGCGCTGGAAGGCCTGAGCGAGTCTTTGGCAAAAGAACTTGATCCCGCATGGAATATAAAGGTAACTTTAGAATGCTTGATGTCTAAGGACTTATCAACTTTCTGTTTCCCCAAGGTCACAATAATCGAGCCAGGTCCATTCCGTACCAAGATATTCAAGGATAACCTACGCCTAGCTCCCCAGCACCCTGCGTACGACAATCCTAGCTTGCCCGGTTCCCAGTATCGACAATTCGTCGCGTTGGGCAATATCGATGGAGATGCAGACAAGGCAGTGGTAGCCATTGAGAAGTTGACCCACCTCGATGATGTTCCTATGCGCCTGCCACTGCACAGAAGGGTCGTTGTTGGAGCAAGGGAAAAAATCAAGAGCCTGACTGAGGAAGTGGATAAGTTTGAAAGTTGGTCTGAAGATCTTTACCATTAAAATGCATGCATTGTAGTAAGTAGTTTTGCTACTTTTTCGAATGTGATCCGTACGCATTTATGCAACAATTTTCCTCTATGCAGAGACTGCAACCAGGCCTCTTCCTAGTATGAGTATAAGCACTTTTAGTAAGTCATCAGCCTTCCAAACCAGACGTTCAAGGGCCTTAGGGTTCTGAAGCAGATAAAACACCAGTCACGGTCGGTGCGTCCGCGTGCAGACCGGATGTGGACAAAGTCTCGGAAAGTGCCGGGAAGTCTGTCAAATCATTTCCCACCACTATCAACGTTTCCGCCTGCTAAGTGCTTGCAGGCTCAGCTGCCACATCAGGATTTTTACCTCCACATCTCCAGATCCCTACTAGTCTCCCATATCTACACACAAATACCATCATGATGTTATTCAACGTCTCCTCCCAATCCACAGCTGCCGCGTCCTTCAGGTGACTAGAACCGCGACGACAAGCTGACAAGGATGATGGAATCACAGGATTGGCGTGACGGTGCTTGACATATATGACTGGATGCGTGATGGTGGCTCGTCGCGATGATGTAAGACAACAAACAGATCTTTGACCGCCTGGACATTTCCGACCAAGCATCCCGATTCCCCACGTATTCGCCAGACTTTCGCGTGGGGTCTCTGTAGACTTCATTACAGACCGGGAACTTCCTACATGTCCTCCGGTTGTCCGGATGCTTCGCTTTTTTTGAACGTATGGTGTCGAGACCATGTTTAGCACGGTCAGACCTTTGATGGGATCAAAATTCAATTCTTGTTTTCATTTCAGGCGGAGTCGTTAATATGAAGGAATTCCTTCGATATGTCTGACCAGCGGATACTACGCGAAGTCTGGAATTCTACCCCGAAGCGAGGTACGAGCGTAAGGTTAGAATAATGACTTCGTGGAGCGGCTGTGCAGCATGTGGTTTCTCTTCTCCGCCTACCACAAAGCGCCCAAGGCCCAGGTTACATTCCAGTCAGTTCCGGCGCCTGTCTGCAGCCTGCCACCTTTCAGCCCACCCACCGCTCCTTTTCCTTCCCAGCCTACATTACAGTTTTCTACAAGATTCATATTCAAGTTCCTTGGTCACATAGTCACATTCCTACTACTGGGCCCCGGTGGTTGGTACCCGAACCTGCTAGGTCTGAGGCTACGAGGCTGTCCACCCGCCCTCACACAGATCGGAGTCACTATCGAGGCTTCCACCCCCCTAAAAAACTATCTGCTTACAACCAAGCAGACGTTCTCACTACTTACACAACTGCACAAGAGCGCCCACAAAGTCTGGATTTTGTACAGCTGGGACGTCGGAGTATGTTTTGGTCACTTTGCAACATCGTTTTCGACTTACTTTTTTCAGGGGGAGATGAAAATGGCTCCAGGAGCTACAGTCTTCCCTAGCTAGCTCTGCACCCTCATCTTTGAATAATGCTGTCTGACTCTGCGTCGGGCGTCACAAGCATGGAGTTCATCGTTCTATACTGAAGTCCCTGTGCAATATACAATAACACTGAGGGGCCTGTCAGTGGACACCACCGCATGCACACTCACTGAGTGGCTGTCGAACAACAATAGTATCTGCCCAATTTTAATCCCAAGCTGGCATCGGGTGCTATTTTACGTCCAACACATCATGCTGTATTACTTCTTATTTATTGTTATTTTCTCTATAGCTACAAAACTACAAGGTATCAAAAAATGTGCGATAGTCGCGATTTGGGGAGGTTGTTAGAAGTGGCAAACTTCTAATAGTCGCCCTGGAAGTATTCCGCCCTTGTTCCGCTCCAACAGTATCGTAAAACGGTGGGACCCTGTAGTTTGTCAAGCTCCACGAATAAATAGAAATGGCCAAGAAAGAAATCTGATCCACCAATATGAAAGTAGCTGCAAAGACGGAAAGGCAGTAATGTTATCTACAGAGTGACATTCACTCCCATCGCAATGGCTTGACCTAAAGTCTCATTCACATGCTGAAAGAGCTGGCACTGCTTGGTGCGAATAGCCACGTCGCTGGCCTGACCAAGATGCCAGATGACATTGGAGATCAAGTTGTTTTGATCACGTTCAGATAGACCATTCCACTGTCATGGTTCAATCAGCGATTCAAAGGCAAATTGCGAATAGTGCTATTTGCTACGTACGAAGATCCTTGGTTGATCGAAATCTATCTCGCTGGGTGTGCTAAGGTACTTGACAGCGCCGCCAGTCCAAATGGTGTGGTTGTCGTCATTATACGGCCGAGGAGCAAGCCCAAGAAGATCTTGCTGCGACCAAAAGTTCGGGCGATCTCCCTGGTTGTTGAAGTTCATGGCACCATCACGTAAGAAATTCGCTGGATAAACTCGATTTAGCATCACGCAGAACGATGGAGAACAGTTACGAACCGACAGGATTGAGAGGGCAGTTGATCTGTCATTCACAGCTTTAGGTACGACCAGACTGAGTCACACGATGCTACTTACTGGGAGTTGTCTGCCGTTAACTCCAGTGCGGTATCGCTGGGCATCTGGGTGGAGGAAGTTGAGTAGAAGATGTCAGAAAGTAAGAACTATAGTACCAGAGTAAGCGAACAATCGTGCTTGCAGTATGGGATCCGCGGAAGGTTCGAGACCATAAGGCTAGATGAAATCAGCCTTGTTAGTTCGCGGATCTTTAGAAAAACAAACCATGTTGGCAACGTCAAAACCAATTTGTTCAACCTCTGCGAAATAATTAGTCCTGAGGGAAGAAGTTAGTTGTGGCGCATAAACATTGAAAACCACAAATCCGTACGGGTTCTGAACAAGGGTGATTCGACCAATTTCCTGGTAAGGTACATCTTCTACGAGCCATTCTAGAAATAGAAATGTGAGTGTCAAGAATATAATTTGAGGACAGTAAAACGTGCCTTTGGTCAGGTCTAGGATGTTGTCTGAGAGAAAATGTTAGCATCGTCCAAAAGAGACTAGATAAGACCAGGCATCAGACATTTATAATTCTCGGCTTGTTGAGGCGTCATGGTTTGCCAGTAAATTGTCCAGCTGGGGTAATTTCCAGCTGCAATGGAGTCATAAAGATCTTGGACGCCAAAGTCGGGGCTCACGCCAGCTTGCACGATGGCCTCGTCATTAGTGTTGTTCTTGGTGCCTTGATCCGACACTGCGATGGTTCTGGACCGTGTCAACGATGAAGACACCAAAGCACATCATCAGAGACCACCTACTTGATGTAAACCCACGAGCCATCTGCCTTCACAGCGCGGAATGTATTGCCACTCCAGCCACTCATATACCTAGGGATTTGTGAGTAAAGAAGAAAGCACGCATACTTCATGAGATGCATACCTGAACCCGTAAGGAGTCCCGAGGTCAGACATGGTACGCATGACCTATTACAGGTTGATGTCAGCAAAGATGATCACTTGACTGGTGGCGGAAGGTACCTGGTAGATTGATTCATTATTCGCGGAAAGGTAATCTAAAAAAATGTAAAGCCTGCACATCGAAGTGGCTGATTTGTCGCTCACCCCAGAAATTCTGATGGGGTGTACAATGAGTGAACTGCCAATGATATTATGAGGGAGGGAAATGTACATTGTAATCCACAGTGTTTGTCTGAGGGTTGCGTTTCTGAGAACGGCTGAGGTCTGTATGCATATTCAATATGACAAGCCATGGAGGGATTCGTTATACTAACGAGGGAATTTTGCTGGATCACGAATCCAGAAAACAGGGTGGTTTAAGAAGGGCTTTGTGGTATATTAGCTTCAGGAGGCACCCTTACACGATAAACGCTTACCCAGTCCAAGATTCCGTCTTCTGTGCGCAACCTAAGTTTAGAAACAACAACACGTTGAGCACGTGGCGGCAATACCAAAATAGCTCATGTACTTAAAGGCGAGCCCTCGCAGATCCCGAACAGTATCCGCATTGCCCAGATTACCGGCAATTGTAGAAAACCGGGCAGTGACTGGGGTACGCTTGCCGACCTCCGAAAAGACACTCGCCATCGAATAGTTCGCACCCACAGGTGTGGTCACTTCAAACCAACCATGAGCACCTCCGCCTTTTGCGTGGATAGTGCGCTCAGGCTTTGCAAAGAGCTCATTAGCAGTGGCATTGCGGAGAATCCTGCGTGTCTTACCACTCTCTCACGGACAAAGTGAGCCAGTGATTCGATCTGAGATGTATATTAGGAAAGATCGACGCTATCCCAAGGAAATTCCTTGCCAGGTTAGTGGACGAAATCAGAAGAGGGCCAGTCGTTCCTAGTCTGTCTGCCATGTACGGGTTGGGATATCTGCATACAACATACTTGTTATTTGTGAAGTACGGTTGAGGAGTAGCTAACTCGCGCCTCTCCCCCAGACAGGGTGTAATCCAGTTGAGTAGAAGGATCATTGATAATCGAATCTTGCTCATTTGGACCTTGATATATGTTGAAGTAGGGCTGACTTGCGTCACGCTTGGCTTCTTCAGCGTGCGCAACAGCGATCGCAGCTCCTGAGAATAGAAGCGAAGCAAAGAAGTACATTCTGTCAATGAAAGGAAGCTGGGTTAAGAGAATCGTAGCTCTCCACATTATATATATGCAAAACTCTCGACCTGTAGGCTCAGCATGTCATGTTACGCGACAAGAAAAGCTGTATGTCTGAGCAACAGCCCTGATGCGGTGAGAAACTGTTCTTGACATGAGTTGAAAAAACAGGGCCGCCTGAGCAATCAATGAATGATCTTGTCTTCTCCCCACCGCTGTGATGAAGACACATGATGATGTGTTTGAATCCGTGGTGACTATTCATGATGCCGAGGGCTTTTGGCAGTGAGAGTTTTACTTTGGGGAAAGTCATGGTGCCGTTCACCCAAAGCGCTGTCACTAGAGGCCGCGCCCTTGGGAATGAAGATTATAATACTGCGATGCATCAGTGAATTGATGAACATATTGAAATTATACCATACAAGCGATGACCTTCGGTCGTTGTGATCCATATTATATTTGCCGTATCTATCTCTGTCCTCATTCACTCCTGAACATAAGCACACGTATTCTGACGGTTTTTGACGCGAGATAGTGCAGTATATAATTGACCACGCGCAAAAGGATCTGTTCTGAGATCAAGAACAGTGCGAGAGAGCGTGAGTCCTTGGCATCCGTTGAAAGTCGTCGCATAAGCTTTTTGAAGGGAACTGCTTGCGATTCACTATCCAGTTAGACCGATAGGGATGGAAGGAATGTGATACGTGGAATACAGTGGTTCTCGAGGTTGTGGAGCAGTTGGACTTCGACGAATCGACGATGTAGGGCAGTTATTCGTACACATACATTCCTCACCAATCCTTTTTTCCACTGAGAGGTTGTGTTGTATGGCGCATACACAGTTTATTTTGCGATCTAGTCGATGGGAAGGCATTCCAGGCGCAGTAAGCATGGCTAAGGAGTTACCGAAGTGAATACAAGGACTGACAATTGTGGCTGTGCGTACCACGAAAAAATACCTGGGAATAAACAACCATTTATGTGATCATGATCATAAGCATCGTCCTTTGTTCCCTATATATTGTTGTGTCAACTTCTTCTTCGATCTCTCGGTCTTCCATCCGCAGATCACGCAAGCCGCATGCGAATCAGTTCCAAGCAACGTTGATGCGCACTGAGCGGATCATCCGGCCGCTCTGCAAAATATATATAAGATGCAAGTGTGTGATAAGTCCTTTTCTTACTCTGCGACCCCTCCCTAGCTTCTCAGGCCTGAAAAGGCGCGCTGACCGTGCGCGGTTTGCTTTCTATAGACCTGACCGTGGTCTTGCAAGCCCCGTAGTCGCTATAGAGGGATCACTTGGAGTCGCAGACTGGCACTTTCTGGCGCCGCTACGATTGACCGGTCCGAAAATGTTTCTGTCCGTCTTGGCGATGTTTAATATACTAGTATTCGAGCCATTTGCTTTATCCTTCGGTGTCTGACTCTTCTCAGTTTTCTGATCTCTTTATTTCTGTGTACAGTGCGCATGCCCGGTATGGGTTCACGACCAATAACATTCAAAATATTCCGACATGCGAGTCCTACTAGTGGTTAATTGGCTGGCACAGTAGACAGCCGCACATTGCCTGTGAGCAAAGTCACAAGCGCCTGAAACACGGTTTTCATATTTTACATATTTCAAACAGTTTGTGTTTGCGCCATTCTAACATCAGTGAATTCATGAGTCCTTGATTTTGTAGCCGTGGGAAGTATAAGATGATATCATTATGCTACGGCTGAATATACCTATGTATACAGCAATAAATATTAGTTATCGGTACATAGCCATGAATCTCTGAAAATTCATTTTACCATGAGGAGTTTGCGACAAGATTACAACATTGCGCCGTTGCAGCAATCAATATGCAATAGCATAGTTAAGTTATATTTGTTGACTCATACCATATCCCTTCATTTATGTTTTAAACTACCAAGTGATATAAGACTTTATCGTGGAAAGAACTGTTGGCACTTGTAACCTAATTTATATTCTTATGAGAGTTTCAACCAGCGAGGTATGATAGTGTAATTAGGTACCGTTTGTTGAGCAACATCATATTACCTCATTTATGTTTGACTTACAAAACTATATAGATTGGTTCAAATATTGCGTGAATTACAATGTCTGTCAGAAATTTCCTATTCGGGTTTCATGGCCTTGCAACACGTTGCAATGATCCAATGACAAGCCCAGGTTCCAACACGTTACAATAAAAGAGTTTTACGTTACAATTATGTTACAATTCGGTTAGAATTGTGCCTTTCAACCAAAATTTCGACCAAGTTGGCAATATCAGCAGTCACTTCCAACCGGCTACTCAATTTTGTCTCAATGATGTTGGAATGAACACATTTAGGTTTCAAGTCAATTCAGACCATCCTTGAGACTGACCAAATCTGATTATAACAAGTGCAACCATCGACAATGCATATCTGAATCTATCTACATATAGTACTCCGCCACTGTACTATTACTACTTTTTGCGACTCCTTGTTGGCCGGCCATGTCGCTGCCCTTCTGTCAATGCATCTGGATCCCCTGATGATGATATAGGTGCGAGTACCCCAGCCTTCTTTCCTCGGCCTCGTCGACCAGAGGATGATTGAGAAGCTACAGCTTGTGGCAGAACCTCCCCGGTGGGGATGGCAACAGCAGCAGGCACAATGGATGGGAATTTGGTGGCTGTGGTGACAGTGACTGCAGGCGTGACAGCAGGTAGTCCGAGTGTTGTAGATTCAGAAGTCACAGCGGGAACTGGTGTGATGATGGTTTCAGCTGGTGCTGCGGGAAGGGGCACTGGTGCAGCAGGAAGGGGTGCTGGTGCAACGGGAAGGGGTGCTCGTACAGTGGGAGGGGCAGCTGGTGCGGCCTGAAACATTGTTGAACTGTGGGTTATGGGAGGTGTGAAATCTACATTGGTAGTCGGAACATCTGAATCTGTGCGGCCTGCATTGGCGAGAGCCAGGCACATTAAATCAGGTGTGAGATCGTTGCCTTCGGCATCTGAAGTTGTGACATTGGCGGTTGATGACGATTGCCAGACGTGGCTATTGATTTTTTGCCAGATTGAGATAATACGAGGTTCCTCCCAAAGTGTTACCCACAGTTGTTTGTAGGCCGTGAACATGGCTGTGTATGGTAGTCGAGATTTTGTGCCAACTCTGTCTTTAGTAAATGAGGGATCTGTGGACAGAATGAAGATCAACTTAACAATGGTTAGACACTGAGAATTGATCATAATAAAAGAGGGACAACTTACGGCGACCCAGCCCCAGGCAAGAAGACCGGGAGTACACGATGTCATGCCCCATTTTCGAGTGTTACACTTGGCGCGTGGCCACCCAATGATGTCCAGTGAATTTTTTCCGAACATCACAATTCTAATCGCCTATATGAAACATAGCTTAAGCACAGATTCTTCAGACAGCTGTAACAAGAATAAATACCTTTGCGAGCGGTTCCCAGTTACCAAAAACTGTGGACATTGTGGGGTCCATTTCTTGTCTCGTAAAAAGGACAGGCGGGAACTTTGATGATGGAGAGCGACCAAGCATCTTCTGTATTTCTGGGATTGTGTCCCGTTTCACAAAACTGGTATCGAAATAGGATGGATCGAGGCCAAAGATGTGCCCTGCCATCACTCACAGCTTGCCAATCTCACTGGAGCGACCCCCTTGAAGATGGTGTTCCAGCTGTGGTATTATATATCAATAATCAATTTGCTAGATCACAACAACATAAGACGACATACCAAAGATTGGAAATGAGTAGTTGGTACAAAGCGATGGAGATGACCTGGGAGAAGCGAGTATAGTTCAGTTACAAGACAAACTTCTTCTGCACTCTTGCTCGCATAGCGACTCCCAGATAGGATGGTGGGTGGAGGATTTGGCACAGGTAATTTGAGAATGTGGTGCACAGGTGGAAACATCTCCGCAACAATGCCATACTTGCGGGAAAAAGTCCCAAGCTCAACATCAAAAGCCTTTAGCTCGTCCGGAACATTGGTTTTTGAACGTCGATGTTGATTGGACGATAATGTCTTGTTCTTCTCGCCCAAAGTACGATTGTTATTCTTGAGCATTTGGTTTTCGAGTTGCAAGCGCCGAATGATCTTGAATACAATTAGTAGAGTAGATAGTTGCAGGCATGAATCATACCTCCATATCCCCATCCTGTTGTGGCCTTTGTCGCGTGTTGGAGACCGATGGCTGAGTCAACGAGCTCCCTGAACCTCCTGCTGCAGACCCAGAGTCCGATTCATCAAAATAATCCAATGAGTCTGATTCGCTGTCAGATGTGTGATGGGGAGCCTGCTGGGGCATAATAAGAAATATGCGTGCAGTAGATTGAGACGGTGAAGCACAATGGGAGAGGGAGAGAACTTATAGTCAAAATCCATTGCGCATTGACAACCGAGCAGCGTGGGCACAAAGGGAAACCTGTGCAACAGATTACATGCACGGACTTGGCATGTACATCAGAATGTATCAGGTAAAAGGTAGTACATGAGGCAACTTACCTGTGTGGCGCCAAATCCAGCATTGCAAAAGCTCTAGATCACGAAAGTTTAGTAAAATGCAGCAAGACGCCAAAGGTAAAAGAGCTTGCCAAAAACAAGCGATGACGTGTTATCAATTTGAATGTGATGGACAGCACAATGGATCTGAATCTGACTTGTCTGAATCAACCTCGTGGCATGAGAGGCAGAGAAAACGGTGCAACTTATTACCTGTATCCATGAGGCAGCAATGCTTCAGCATGAGTCATTTGTCTGTGCAGCAGGGTAAGGGTCGAAATGTGGTTGAATCTTCAACTCAATTAACTTGCAAGAGTGTTGATAGAACCAATGGACTTGGCAAAAATCCTTCAATTTGCTTACATAATCATAATCGTCTGCTAATACACTTGGCCGCCGTCGTAAATATCTATCGTACATGTGTAGGTCAAGAGATCATGGATCATTCTGCGAGCTTGAGAAAATGAAAAGAAATGTACTGCTATCATATGAAATGCATCTTCTTCGCCAAGTTCCATCATGATGCCAGTCCTTAAAGTTCTTTCTCCAGCATTTGAGGTTGAAAGTCCTCATTAGGAATTGTGGCAACGTTGTTGCAACTCATTGGCATAGTGTGATTGAAAAAGTGTGAAGGTGAGGTCAGTAATAGGCTAGAACAAAGTGAGGGGGGATGGGGGAGGGGGAGGGAAGGGGTGAGGGTAGTCAGACGAACCTTAAAAAAAGGGCTTGGCGAACAAGGGCACATATATGTGAGGAGCACGAGTGACCTATGGTGAAACTGACCCGTTGCTTGAGATGTTGGCGGTGTCAAAACCCAGGTGGGATTGAAGTGGAATGCGCCAACACACACAATCGAATGGTAGCAGCGTCAAAACCCATGGCGGGATTGAAGTGGAACATGCCACGCGCACAATCAAATGGTAGCAGCGTCGAAACCCATGGCAGGATTGAAGTGGAATGCGCCACGCGCACAATCAAATGGTGGCAGCGTCGAAACCCATGGCGGGATTGAAGTGGAACGCGCCACGCGCACAATCAAATGGGGGCAGTGTCGAAACCCATGGCGGGATTGAAGTGGAACACGCCATGCCCACAATCAAATGGTGGCAGCGTCGAAACCCATGGTGGGATTGAAGTGGAACGCGCCACGCACACAATCAAAATGTTCAAGAGCACAAACACTGGGCGCGACAGTGTGGGATACTTGCATCGGCATCTTTGGGCGAGGGAAGTGGCATGTCAGAACTATTCGCTGTGGATAGTGGAACATGTCAACTCACAGTATACAGGAGCAGGAATTGAGATGGAACATGTCGCATGAGCATAGGCATGGCACAGAGTGAACGCGATTCAGTTCCTGCAGGCTAAAACGAGGTGAGAAGCTTGGGGATAGCGGATGTTTCTTCAAGATGGACACAAAGGAGCCAGAGAAGAAGATGCTTTCGACTGCAGCGAGTGAGGACGAAAGGTCAATACAGATGAGGTTTTCATTAAAAATGCCATCTGTAGTGGTAAGAAGTCAATCTAACCTAATAACCAGCCTCCGTACGAATTTCCTTCATTCGAAGGAACATGTCTGTGTCAATCGTATTGACAACCAAAAACTCGTTCGGCCTAGTGCTATCCTCAGCAGAGGCCCTGGGCTTTGCCTTGACCCGCCAAAATTTGAAATCTTTGTCCTTCCGTGGACGAGCACCAACCGCTTGATCATACGGGAGAGTGAGTGTGATAGGATAATCGATGTCCCCAACTGTGCAGGTAAAGATCAACAACAGCTTGGCGAAGATGGGACCAGCTTCCGTCTGCAGGATAACACAATCATATCGAGGCAATCCATGAAACATTGGATTGCATCGGAGATAGTCCAGGGAGACTCGCCAGTCAACGAGTGACTCATAGCCGACTTTAAGGAATCTAAACTCGGTAATCTGAGCAAAAGTGCAATACTATTAGTAAGGTCATTTGAGGGCTGTAGATACTCAACGCACCATGTCACCAGCAGCGAGTTGGACATGTCTTCCACTGGGAAATGGTATATTGTTGGCAGCAAATGTGTGGTTCAAAAATTCATTCAATTTGATCCGGAATCGATCAAAGGCTGGATTGCCCGCGTTACCTGCTTCAATGTCTGCAAATGATTTACTCGCCTGCCGCGAACCAAGACTAAAGTGCTGTGCATCAGTTGGGTTGGTCTGTTCGACCTCATTGGCCTCCGACAGATCAGGTAGATCTGATGAGCCAATATTCTGTGCGTTGTAGAAACAACTATACTGAGTGGGGCTATACGAAGATGGCTCCAAACTGATATATTTGTGTTGTGGTCTTTGCACTGCCTAGTCTGCTATACTTGCCTGACAAGTGCGTTCGACCCAGGGGTCTGCGGTCTGGGAATAGTCTTGGGGGTAAGTGAGTGATGTGGAGTCAATAGTCCGAGCGTGGGAAACAATGTCCAAAGGTATAATTACGATGTCCGATGCAAAAGCGTCGGGTCCGATGTTTTCGGGGTTTCGGGTTATCGGGGTTCGGGTTTGGGGTGTCGGAAACTAATAGTAACGCTATAGCGAGCGTCGGAAGAGCGAGCGGTGTGCGCAATAATAACAATGACTGATACGGATAATGAAAGAGCGATGATATTTCGCAATATCAACTAAGAACTACGAAATATCGGGTTTGACCACTAAGCATCGGGGAACTGCTCCCCTCTACTTGGATGATGAATAATGCTTGAGGTCAGTCCAATATATATGTAAGTACGTAGAAATGCGGAACCCGTAGGTGAAAGTAGCGGCGGAGTATTTCGGATCCGAAGTACATGTAAATAAACATGAGGCGCTGTGGACTATGGGAAAACATGTAATAGCACTGGCTACGACGTGAGTAATGTGCGAAATAATGAACTACACACCTAGTGGGGCTAGCAAGACGGGACGGGACACGGATAGGACAAGTGCGCGGGAAAACATCGGGTCTGATGCGGCCTAAACGTCGGGTTGGCGGGTTAGCGTCGGATAACATCGGGAAGTGATTAGCATGTGACGGGTATTTGACGTGTACTGTAAAATAGCTCGATACGAGCCCAGCGCCAGCTCGTGTCCTACAGCGTCGAGGCAGTCCATCTTGCTGCGAATATATTCTGCAATTAGGCTGTCGTGGTTGTATCGAAGAATCTTTAAATTTGTTTGTCAGCACTTGGTTCACATATATGCAGTCTAAGGAGCCACTTACCTGTTCAGCGAAATTCTTGAAGTTCATACGATCCTGATAGGCATCCTTCAGCAGGCCGTGCATCTTTTCGTTCGGCTTTGTGTTGTAGTTTCAGGTGACACCTTTTGCCTCAATGTCGTCGAAGACATGAGCTGAAAGATGTTTCTTGGGGAAATTCCATGACTTCTCTGAGAGGTCTGCTGTATCTTCGATGTATGTCTGACTCGTAGTTCTGAATCAATGGTGTTAATTGACAATATACACAATAAAACTTACATCCATCAATTTGGTGAGCTCCGACAATGCATTTCGGCCATCCCTGATGGTGTCTTTGGTGTGAACCTCTAACGAGGCATATGTGTTAAATTCTACATAGCTCCAAATACAGCGAAGCAGGAGATAGGCCTGTGGATCCAGATCATGCTTAAATACATTATGCGCTGCAAAAACGATGAGCTATTGAATGATGTGAACAATCGATCTAAAGCTTGATAATATCATGATATACCTTTGATATATCTTCGTATTTCGTTCCATCAGAAAAGGATACTGATACCACCTGGTCAAAGTGGTTCAGGTTTCGCCAACGTGGAAACGACTCGAAACTGCAAATCTAGATTAACATTTACTACCTACTACAGACAGAAAAATACTTGCAAACTGTCAATCAGCACAGCAGCTTGTTGACCAGAACTAGCGATCCATTTTTGAAGTTCCGTCCACAGGTGATCGAACTGTCTCTCATCATTAAAGTGAAGTTTGTCAAATGATAGAGCATGGTGCACATCAGTGTGGTCCATGGTGTCAAATGAATTCTGATGTCAGTGATAGACAAATTAAAAATTAAAATCAAGGCGAAAGACTTACATCAACATCACGGAGGCTCTCAGAGCTCAATATCTGCTCTCTCGCTTCTATTGTTGTAGACTCTCGGGCTCGAGCACGCAATGCCTTTGCGTCTGTGGATGTGCGAAGCCGATACACGTTGGATGTCTTGGAGAGCTCCTCGCGAGGCACGAGGCAGATAGGGCAAGGAAATTTTCCCATGAGACCACAAATTAATGCCATCACAACCCTGTAATATTAGTGAACATGCTTTCAGGCTCGTGTATTACCTAGCAATGTTTGAGTCACTCACTGTTCTTCATAGTCTGCAGAGAGTATGAGTATGATTGGATAGAACAGGCGGACAATATCATCCCAACATTTGACGGAAGAACCAAGCTTCGATAGTGGTGCTAGACAGGTGAGCAGTTTCAAAAACGATGTATGCCATACCGCGTTTTTGAAGTTAACAAAGGCTGGCTTTCCAGAATGATTCTTGTCTTCCTTTACCTGTGGTAGTTAGTAATGACACAATCATTGAGCGAAGCACAAAGCTAACAATGGGCAGCCAACCAACAACACACCCGCCACCCAAGCCTTCACCATTACGAATTGCGGTGGGAAGATTAGTGCACCGAGCAACTACAGGATAGCCTTTCGCACGACCGAATGATGATAATTTGGCCTTGTCTGCATAGAGGATAAAGGCAAGTGGTTTGGCGTCTGGTGGTATTTTCGACTGTTATTATGCTCAATCAGTACACAGCACATTAGACACATAACACGAATGATATACTTGATATTCCCAGAATGCGCTGGCAGTCCAAGGCTCGTGAATGAACCAAACAAATTTCTCACCATTGAACTTCGAAAGCTGTTGGGCATCAAAGACAAAATGCGGACCAACTTCACGATCTTGAAGTAGATCCACAGCCCAGTCCCATAGTGAGCAGTGAAAAAACGGAAAAGTCTGATCAACACCTTGGAAGGGCACAACCACCTCTTCCTTCGTGAACTATGGTATTCACATATAAATATATTTTACACTCGAAGCAATTGGATACAAACAGGAGTCAATTTGAATGAGGCTGCATCCCATGTGTCTTGCACGTCTTTGCGATTCCGAAGCGTGAACAACTTGTTTTTGCTACGATGTATAAGTCTGATGAGCCGATCTGTCTGCTCGTGAGTGAGTGCGGCTTCATGGGAAAGTTCTGCCACTTCAAAGTCGATATGAGTGCGAAATGGGGACCAGGGCTCAGGATCAGCTTCCGGAGGTACTGTTGGGGCACCAGGGCCACATCCGTACTCTTCGAAATGGTACACTTGTGTAGGGCGCCCACTGTTGGGGTGATACCGGACTTCTATATCATCGGCATCGAATTGGGGCACAGGGGATGCTGTTCCAGAGAGTGGCGGATGGTCTAAAATCACATATTACAGTGACCTATCTCCGTATAATACGAGGGAACGGACATGCATAATATCCCGTATGATACGGGCCAGCGGACCATGGGCCCATGATAAAAATATCCTCGACTATGACGGATGGGCCGGGAGGCAAATTATTCCCGATGGAGACGGGTGGGCCCATGCAGGGAATATATAGAGTAGATGAGTGGGCCGATGTACATGAATATTAGGTAGACGGGTGGGCCGAGGTAGTTGGATATTATGCAGATGGGTGTATTAAGGTAGATGTGTATGAGATAGATGGGTAGGTACTTGTTATCACATTCACGGGTGGGCCCAGACACATATTAAATTAGACGGGTGGGCCGAGGGTATTATAAAATATTGTATTAGACGGGTGGGCCGAGGGTGTTGTATGGGATGTTGTATTAGACGGGTGGGCCGAGGGTGGTATAAAATATAGATGGGTGGGCCCATGTGTATCATAATTGTAGACATGATGGAGCTGAGGTAGTTGTACATCAACCAAATCAGAGGAGGTAATAAATCAAAGTTACCAAGTTCCCGGAGCAGCAGGTGATCTCCTGACATGGCCTTTGATGGTGCACAGGTTGTCTTGCAGAATGTGGAATCCGGGGTGCGAAGCTTGTGTTGCCCTACGAGAAGCCAAGTTCCGACCACCAGAATTTGAGTCAACTGTACCGAGCTCCAAGTTCCGAGTTCCGGGACCCGGAACTCAACACATAATTTAGTTAATACTTTCCGTGTTAAATGGCCAACCGAAGTTGAGATGTTTCTGAAGAGAGCAGCAGGTGCTCTCTTGACATGGCCTTTGATGGTGCGTAGGTTGTCTTGCAGAATGTGGAATCCGGGGTGCGAAGCTTGTGTTGCCCTACGAGAAGCCAAGTTCCGACCACCAAAATGTGAGTCAACCGTACTCAGAGGAGGTAATAAATCAAAGTTACCGAGTTCCCGGAGCAGCAGGTGATCTCCTGACATGGCCTTTGATGGTGCACAGGTTGTCTTGCAGAATTTGGAATCCGGGGTGCGAGGCTTGTGTTTCCCTACAAGAAGCCAAGTTCCGACCACCCAAATTTGGGTCAACCGTACCAACTTCCGAGTTCCGGGACCCGGGAGTTGACAAATGAATATCTGATGACCAGCACACTTCCAATCAGGTAGTATTTCATTGAGCAATGGATAATAATACATCTTTGACAGCCAAAATTATCTCAGGCTCCCTTATCTGATCCTCTCTATCTCCACCCCCTTTAACACCAAAGTCCGGACATTCAGCATTCAGTGTCTGATTTCCCAAGATTAACATCCAGCATGAACGGTTCTTCCCCTTCCACTCCTGATAGTATAAACATCTGGCGCACTTGGGCCCTGACTGTGACTTATGAAGCAGGGGAATATACCGAACAGAAATTCAAGGCAGAGAAGACTGGAGGAGGCCCAGTCATACCTTCCCCCAACCTAGACACTGATCTGGTGATGGCGTGTGATCGCTTGGCTGATGTACTCATAAAGGCATATAAAAATCCCAGTGGGTCTTCCTGCAGATTCGGAAAATTCATTTTATCATTCAAATTCCTGCATGACAGTTCAGATGCAGGTGGATATTGCAAGATATAGCAAATTGATCTCCCCGAAGGACACCGGGCATAATGAACAGAGAGAGGCTAGGTTGCTTGAGAGGTGTCCTCCTGGCCATGAAGGCAAAAGGTTGGTCGACGAACCTGCCACAATTCTCGATGCATCCGGTGCCATCATCGCATGGTACCTCCCAGACGCCCTGACCGACACCACCCAGGTGTGTAATATACATTGTTACTCAATGGATATTGAATATCAAATGGAACCTACAGAAGGAAATCAGGGAAGCCACCAATTTGCTCGCTCCAAGCCTCGAAAAAAGTGTAAGGGCTGATGGCAATTGGCGAACTAATCAAAAGTGGTTCAACCGGGGCTCGGAAGATGTTGGGGCAACTCCCGGATGCATCAATTTATCTCCGGCATGGTTTCAACAGGGACACGAGGTAGGATCTGATGAGATGGTGATTCCGGCAGTCATACTCACCAATCCCAAAGAATGTGTCCGATCCGGAGGTATCTGCATCATTGAAGGGACCTTCCTGCGAGAATATCCTCAAAGCCATTTCAAGGCCAGCAGCCATCGCGTCCGCGGCACTCAGAGTCATGCATCCTGAGCAGTACTGGGCAGGGTTGCGAACCTTGTCAAACCTAGGACATATAGCAGTAAGCAAGGATCTGCCACAGATGCCGGAGGCCCTGCAGTACTGGGCATCGGTGTTTAACACCCTCTCCATCATTTCCAATCGGGAAACCCCAAATCATCGAGACCATTTGTCCATTGCTGAATGCTTCGACATTCTCACCACCGTGGGGAACTATTCTAATGCTCGGATGACAATGCCAAGCCTTCAGCTGGAGTTCAAGTACAATTCCGGCTGTATGATTGTGTTTTCCGGAAGGATTGTGAGACATGGAGTTTATGATGTGGAAGGGGATCGGATTGCTTGGGCATGGTATATGAGGGATTCTGTTCACATTTACGCTGGTGTTCCATCATGTGGATGGGCTAGTGTGGATGGTCCATACAGTGTGTGAAAGATCAAACAAAGAGCATGCATTGTGACCTATATACATTCCAACAAATGAATACCATGTACCAATAGTTATCTGGACCTCAATACTCAATTGTGAGCATTTGCGAAGTGATATATGGGACTGAATAATTTGGATGCGAGCCTCGGTATTCGATAATTGGAACTCGGGACTTGACATATGGGAGTCCCGAGTGCCGGGGTACTGAGTCCCGACACCCGGACCTCAGCACTTGATATTTGAGACTGGGGGAAGATGTATCAATATGCTCAAATTAACATTTGTTATTGCCGTACACATTTGACAAAACCCTGAACCCCGACATTGTGAACTCGGGACTCGACACTGTTCTGAATACCGAGTCCCGGAAGCCCAGGTCCCGAGTCCCGAATTTCGGAGTTCGGGGTTCGGCGACCCGGAGCTCGGCAACTGTGTTGGGTGTCAGGGTATCCGGAGCATTGGAGATAGCATGTGTCAGTATTTTGCGTTTCATGGTTCATGTTTGGCTGACACATGCGATCTCCAATGCTCCGGATACCCTGACACCCAACACAGTTGCCAAGCTCCGGGTCACCGAACCCCGAACTCCGAAATTCGGGACTTGGGACTCGGGTTTCGGGACTCGGGACCTGGGTTTCGGGACTCGGGACTCGGAGCTCGTGACCTGGGACTCGACAGTGTTCTGAATACCGAGTCCCTGACGCCCGATTCTATAATCACGAAAGATTCCATAATCACGAAAGATGAACCATGAAACGCAGAATACTGACACATGCTATCTCCAATGCTCCGGATACCCTGACACCCAACACAGTTGCCGAGCTCCGGGTCGCCGAACCCCGAACTCCGAAATTCGGGACTCGGGACCTGGGCTTCCGGGACTCGGGTGCAAGATTTTTGAATGCATAGAATATTTTACATCTTGTATACAATGAACACTGAATGGGACTACACTCCTTTGCCTTTCCTCAATTTCTCTAACATGTCAGTGTACATCTTCACCTCTGCCATCTTGGCTTTGATGCCCTCATCTTGCTCCTCCATCAATGCTTCCATGCGTTCTTTAATCCACCTCAGTCCCATAAGTGGTGGAGTCGAAGTGTTTCTCAACTTCTCTGGAAGAACCAAAGCATCATCCTCAACATTAAGCTAGAACAGATAAGTCATCAATCAAGGCAATTCAGCTAACATCTTACCGCCCAATACTGGTAGTGAGAGACGCAGGAAGCCATTATTTCATCCCACTGCCATGGTTGATCCGGGATTGTGGTGTTTCCCATCCACCATGGACATGTATATGCAAACACAATCCGGGACGGATGTCCTGCAATTGCCTCATCATCAAATGAAAGGAGGTGGAATGAAAAGACGTCGTCCGGAACCTGTGTTCCAGGTTAGCATGGGATACAACTTAAGGATATAAGCGACAGGGACCGGAAGAACCGACACGATATTCTGTGAAGCTGAGTACTGCAGGAGTGGTGTGACAAAAGTCTGCTCAAATTTTTAGCATTGACCAACAAAGTCATCAGGGCAGTGGTAACATACATTCATCTCCCATTGCAGCCCAGCTTTAAAATACTTTATCCGGTCAGAAGATAGACCATTGTTGGCAGCTTCCGTCTGATATTGAGAGATGCATGCACGGACCCGCGATCCAGCCATTGCCAATGTGCAGGAAATAGTTCCAAGGCTCAGCTTCAGGGGTCGGTAATGGCTTCCGGCATTCAGAGTGCCAGAAGTGGATGCAGGAGTTGCAGGCATGGCTAATACAGGACTATGGCGCTGGCAATGCAAGTGAAAGATGGTGAAGATGTGAAGATAAGAATCACTGATGGATGGATACGAAATTCAAACTCCGACATGGGCTGACCCGGACAATTCCCGGGCCTCAATTATGTATGTGGAAAAAGGGACTTCATGAGAAAACAATGTTCATTCATCTCCAGCCTCTATCAACACGTTTTGTAGGTCTTGAAAAGCTGCCTGCGCATCCTGTGCGAGCAATGAATACATTCGCGATTGCCTTCCGGCATAGCATCCGTGACCCGGAAGGCGTTTCTCCAATGATTCCTGCATGTGGTCGCCCCATTGGGTTGCTTTCCACAAAAAGAACTTACATGTCCAATCCATCTCCAATTTGACCAATATCATTTCTTCCCTCCATCGATCTCGTAGTGCCTTTGCCCGCAGCCAATGGACTCGGTAAACTTGGCATGGGTCCAGTCAGGTAACCGTGGGATATGACATGCAAGCAGGAACTCACATTCCTCATTCCACGATTGATCAGGACCCCCGAGGTCGACTTCAACAGACCAAAACCAAGCCAAAGATTCATTTCGTTGACCTCGGGCATTTGGGTCGCCCACTGCAGTGCTGATTTTGAGTTGCTCGCGAAGCAGGGGTTTGTATTTCTGAAGCTGGTCTTGCCCCGGCTCAAGTTTCATCATTTGCTTCCTGGTCTTTGTATATATGCTGGCATGGAGGGAGACTGCCTGCTGCACCGACGTCACCTGGGACCAAGCTCGAGTTTTCAGGGCCTGGGATTTGGCCTGCCGAACGGTTGTTCGGAACAGGATGGCCTTGTTGCAAAGGTAAATGCGGAGATTGTGAAGGGCATCATTGGCCTGCCCTTCACGAAGAGACATCTCCAGGGGAATCAGATCCTCTGCCATGCATCGTCTGCATCTATCAACACCCAGGTTTGATGGCAACGGGATTACAGTGAGCTCGGGAGAGTTTGTCCATGTATGAGATGTCTCTGTGAAATCCGCCGGGTCATCATCGAGATCATCTAGAATGTCTACGTTCAAGTCCTCAGGTTCATCATCTGCATCAAATCCCTCCCCGAGATGTGTTAGAGCAGACCGAGCAAATCCATCTATCTGGCCTTGGAGCCGATCGCGTTGACGGGCAATGTCTAATCTCTGTGTCTCAGTGGATCTTCTTCCGATCCTTCGGACCTCGATGAGCAATGCAATCTGAGCCTCTTCAATTGCTAACCCTGTTGATATCCACGTCGCCACAGATCTGCGAGAGGGTGCTGCATTGCGGGCGTTACCCTCCTCTAATAATCTAAGCTCGATCTCCTTTTTGCTTGGTGCTGAGTGCAATATTAATTCCGACCTCGATGGAGACAATGGAACTCAACTGTACCCTTTTTTATATTGATCTCATATTCATCCATCGCCGCAGGATCATTCAATCTGCTTGACTGAGCTATCCTCTCCCTGGCTAACCATTCTGTCTTCAAATGTGAGGGTGCTGCTTCATCGAGTCTGTCGAATGCCTTTCCACTTTCCGAGATGCCATTCCTCGCCAGCTTGTATTTCCGGCATAGAGTCCTTTTCATGCGAATCATCTTGCAGAAATTGGAGTCATTCATCTGATAATCAAGGCATTCCTTTCGGTGGGGAGATGACATTCCCCGAGCAGCAGGGGAAATCAGATTGAGCCGTGCCCATAGCGTCTCCATGATCTCTCCATCGATCCGACCAATGCCTTCAATAAAGTTAGAAGCATATCGGACATAGCAGCTGTCCTGATGGCCATGAATGTGCCACAACCCAATTCCGGGAATGATGGTTAGTTGTGGTGCCATGTCTAGAAATCGACTTCGATCCACCCGAACCCGAAAGTGTTTGTTGTATTGACAATTAATATCATAGAAGGTGACAGCCCTGGTGATGCCTTCCATGTTGTGCCGGGAAGCCTCGCAAAGGGCGTAGTCCATGTTCATTTGTCTGCAAGTGACCCATGGTTAACTCGTGAATGAGGAATGGTGGATGTGGCTTGCCTTTCGCCTTTCTGAAAATCCACCATGGAGTGAGGGACAAAGCAACCGTGTCTGGCACAGGCAACTCCCCCGATACCGGTGGACTCCAGCTTGTGCCGAGCAGCATTAGCTTGATTTACTGCCCGGTGGTTGTTGCAGCTTGATTTTTCCACCGTGTCAGCAGCCTCTGCCAGATGCATTTTATACCGGTCCTTTCCTACCATGAATCCAAGCCCATCGGATAGCCAAACTTCATCGAATGGCTTAATGGGATGCAGATGTTCGGCTTTGAAATTTCCGTCCATCACAAATGACCGGGTGTATTTCCAGCTTGGATCGCTAGTATTATTATGGAGGCCACATTGGTTGAGAATAGGACTCACTCATCAAGCGATTCATCCTCTGACAACAGCACATTAATCCCTGGCTGAGGACACGCCGGGCAAAATAATGCGAGTTCTCCTGTGCTCGGGTTATCAGAACGATGGCCAAAGCCATGCCATTTCATTGTCTTCAACTGCCTCCACTGTCGAGCGACCCTCATGAGCTCTCTGTATCGGTCCTTGCAATGTGCTTTGTCAATATGATGTCCAGTAGATGAAGAGGGTAAGGCATTACCGGAACAAGGTGTGGAAACATGCTGGAGGTCATTCGCCGGAGCTTGCTGTAATAGTTCATCGCCGAGGTGCCGCATTCAAGGCTGTCCAGTAGAAAATCATTGAGCACTCTGAAGGTGAACACAGTCTTTGGCCTGTTGAAAGATGCAGGGAAAAATCCGTGTCGAAACATTTGAATGTCCGGACTCATGGCATTCGGACATTCACAACATCGAATCTCCAGGCGATGAACTCCGGACTTGTCTACAATGACCATGGTGTTTTCCTTTGGCTGGAACTCGGGTCCGGACACAAATGGCAGATCTTCAGGCTCGAGCAGGTCTTCAGGTTCATCTTCTTCAAACAAATTCCACCGATCAGTGACCTCCGGACATTGTTTGCCATCATGGCCAAGGTGTATAATGAGTCCCACATGAGCGAGACAACTCCGCTCAAAGAATCGCCCATTCCATTGACTGATCCAGTGGAAAGGATTGCTACGATGTTGACTCCTGCAACAGCCCGTGCAATAGAGTGGCTCGCCAAGACAATCTTGACATTTGTACACCCCATCCTGTTCGCAGATGATGCATCTCCTGTCTTCTGGTGGAGCTTCTCGATCAAGGAGGTGATGTAGATATGATTCCTGCCTTGGCAGCCATTGCCTGAGGTAGTCATTTTGACTCTGTATTTTTGAATGCTTAGCCATAGTTTAAATGACACTCCAACATTGTACATGAACTTGCCATGGTTTTTGGGAGTTGCAAAGGCTCAAAGGAGCCTTGGTCCTGCTCATAAGTATTGTCAGGAAAGTCTTCCCAAGGAGGTGGTGCCTCAACAGGCTGAATTGTTGGTGATTCTGGGGGAGAGTTAGGCATGGACCTGTAGGCATGTCGCCTCGTGCTTGCAAGTGGGACCTTGACCCAAGTCTTCCTACCTTTGCTGCCCCTTGCTTCCACCCTGTGAGATTTTTGCACTGGGGTGCATCTACCTATCTTCATCTTGTTTACTAATGTTGCAAGCAAGGCATCAGCTCAGGTGTAATGAATTGTTATTGCAATATGATGCTGTGCAGTCCTGTTGGCTCATTACAAATTCATTTCCATTAATGGATTCTTTTCAAATATGGGCCGATTAACAGATTATTAGGCTTTGCTCTAAGTTCAACTTCGCACAATTCATTAATACTTCTACCTTGCAAATCCTCAGCCCGTTCTGCATTCTGATTCACTATGGCAAGAACAGGTCATTCCACCAACATGACTTCCGGAAGACACAGGGCGCGTCAACCACAGTCTCAGAAGCTCACAGACAAGGAGATTTTGGAGTTGAAGAACTACCTTCCTGAGTGGACTGCCGCCAAAAGGAGTGAGAAGAGGGGGATTTTCACTGCCATAGCAAGGGCGGCCAGGTTGTTTGCTCCTAAGGTGGACCAAAAACAATGGAAAAAGAGGAAGCAGGTGATGCTCCTTTGTTGCGTTGAAAAACTAAATTTTCAACATCACATTTTTCATCAAATCTTAGGTGTACAAGACTTGGTTGTTCAACAACAAGAAAAAGAAGGAAAGGAAGGACACCATCAAGTATGGGAGGAAATGGTTATTTATATCATGGACCCTTACTTACATATAGCTTTACATACCTTACTCGGTAACGCTTCGGCTCCGCGTGACAGCGCTTAGGCGCCGTATATAAGCGCCAGCATTACATACTATTAGGAACTTTCGAACTTTGGACTGGACCTCCCACTTACCCACTTACCACCTAGAGAATATAGTTGCAATCTATTCTTTGACACCTCGCGCTCACATCTCTTGTTATTCATCTATCATCACTTAAGCAAACTCACACTTACTCTCACTTGTTTCCGCTCACGCGCGCGCGCGCTTCCCGCGCCTCGCGCGTACCTTCGCTTTCCCGCGCCTCGCGCGTACCTGCGCGCTTTCTCGCACTTCGCATTGGCCGACCAGTAGCGCCTTCAGCGCCTACTTCCAGATCCTTGCTGCACTCGCTTCCCCTTTAGGGTCGAACGCACTTGTCGTCTCAGGTATAGCAGACTAGGCAATGCGCGACCTCACAACATTTACAGATACAGTTTGACGCCCAGGATGGTGGTCTACCAGCAGAAACGCGAAGAGGTGCTGAAGAGGATTGAGGACGAGTCGGGGGTAAAGCCCGGAGATCCTGGTATGTTCAAACATTATCAGGCGGCGGTGAAGAGAGTCATGGCTGAATTGGACGACGACGAGTTGGAGAAGGCGAAAGAAACAGCGGAAGAGTGGTCCAACAACTGTCCGCCTCCGGAGATACAAGCACAAGTCGCCCGTAAGAAGGGTCCGGCATATATGGAGCACTTTCGAACGAGATGTGGAGGCAATGTGGGATGAGAGTTTTTGTGATGTCGGCTTGGAAGAATGAAAAGGGAGAGGTGCTGTTCGGGATGTGAGTACATTTACCCATTGACATGGATCTTTCATCTGAAAATATTCATGCAGGCATGATGATAACGAGGCCTTAGGAGACGGGGACAGCTTCATGAAGACGAAGGACTGGGAGGACATTGAGCCAGTGTGGCAGGAGTACGCGCAGGAACAGTTCGGTGAGTGTTTGAACCATGTATACCAGATTGAACATGTTGAGCATCACGATGATAGGTGCCGGGGCACGGGATGGAGGACGTCAGGTCAAGGGAGGTCGAAAAAGAATTCGAAAACCAGCTTTCGAACTCGAAATGGACGGGGAGGGTATGCCACTCCTTCCCGACATCACTGACACGAAACTTGAGGAGAAGAAGGCCATAGTGAGGGCCTTTCTTACATCGCACTATCGTGAGTTTCTCGTTGCATCATCTGACAAATTGTTCAATGCATGGACACAGGGATATGTTCCGGAAGGACAAGGCGGTTGTACCATGGAGTGCCATTGTACAAAGTCAGGATGACTTCGTGGCCCGGACGTATCTTCTGGCAGATGTTGACTTGAAGGAGCCTTCAAAGCTGCAAAATTGGGACACGACTGCCTTGCTCCATTTCTGGCATGCTCGGCAGGAAACAGGAGAAGGTCCCACATTTCTGTTCAAAGCATGTAAGAACAAAGATGGGGACATGGTACCATCTGTCATATCTGGCAAGTCGCCCTCTCCTCAGACTAGTATAGTGAGAAAGCAGCAGAGGGTTACCATCCGAGGGCCTCGGGATTCGTCGACAGAAGCCGAGAGTGATAAGGAGAGTGCCACTAATCATACGGAGGATGATGTGGATGATGACCTGGCTGACGGGAGACATCCGCTGATGAAACCCAGGACGGGAGGTCCTACACCAAAAGGGACGGCAGTCCCACGTGCAATTCCAAAGCCTCGCCGGGCCAAGCCAGCCAAAAAAGGTGCATTACTGACATCAAGAATGGGCGACCTCCTTGCTGGGTTAACTGAAGACGCGACCAGAGAAGTTAGAGAGGATGTTGAAATGGAAGAGAGTATCACGCCGCCGGCACAGAAAAGGGGGCGGGGCAAGAAAGTCACAGTTGAACCATCCACGAGGACGACCCGGAGTAAGTTGCAAATGCCAGTAGACAGTACACCTAGAGTAACCAGAGCACGGGGACGCACTTAATGTAGATATATCTTCCTGCCGTCATGTGTAATGTCATATGTGCTATTGTGTATATGTCAAAGTACTAACGACCTAATCTTAAATCCCAAATCTCCAGTACCAAGGCCCGAGTACCGAACCCCGAGTTCCGAACCCCGAGTACCGAACCCCGAACCCCGATCACCGGGCACCGAGCACCGAGTACCGAGTACCGAGTACCGAGCACAGAACACCGGGCAGCGAGGACTGAGTAGGTGGAGTATACAAGTACCAAGGACTAAGTACTGAGTAGGTAAAGTATACAAGTACCAAGTACTAAGTACTGAGCAGGCAAAGTATACTGCACCGAACCCCGAGTACCGAACCCCGATCACCGGGCACCGAGCACCGAGTACCGAGTACGGAGTACCGAGCACAGAACACCGGGCAGCGAGGAAGGACTAAGTACTGAGTAGGTAAAGTATACTGCAATATGTCTACTATCAGACATTGATTGATATTTACATGTTACTTGAGTCCTCAAAGAACTCAATGAGGGTATCTAATACCTTCAGCATTTCGGAGGTTGACTCCCTTACCCGTTGCATCCTCCGGAGGTCAGCATCTGCTTTCCGCAGTTTGTCGCATGTTTCCGCCCATGCCATCCTGAATGTCTGTCAGCCTCAAGAAGTTGTGCTACTGTAGGGGCAGGAAGATTTCCATGACTCTGTTCGTAATCACCCAGGCGATCTACAATTGTTTGAACTTGCAGAACATTAGCAGAGATAAATAATTAACTGTTGTATACATACTTTCAGCTTGATCATAAGATCCGATTGGCATGAACTCCTGAACCATGGCACGCAGTTCGTCATTGTTGAGTTCCGGCTCGGGCAATTGACGTTCGGGAGTTTCTGAATTCGCTTGGGAGATAACATGAATAGAACACATGACATGATATGAATACACGTACAAGGTATGGGTGCCTCTGGTACAGCCGGAGTGGCCGGATGAGGTTCGGGAGTCGATTCATTCACTGGGGAAATGCCATGAAAATGAACATGAGATGAAAAGAATAACCTCACCAGCCATAGGAAAATCGGGTACAGCCGGAGCATCATCAGACGAAATAAAGGTATCCTCCGGACCAAGATATAAGTCCGGGTCATCATACAGGGCCAGTCCATCTGCCAGGGCCGGATATGATGGATCTGGAAGTATGTGATGGATTTGCACATGTAGAATATGTACATTTGAATTGAGAAACATACCGGGAATCGCATTTAACGAATCCAGACCACCGGATGACCCAGAATCAGAGTCTAACTCATCATCCGGCCCAAGGTATATATCATCTAATGGATCTAAACCATGTAAGATCAATTCACTGAAATCAGCAAAAACAAAACATACCAAGGGACATCCGGGACTGGGAGGTCTCATCCACATCCATTGAGGTGTATTCAGTGACCGGAGGGTCATGAAATCTGACCCCAGGTTGAGAGCTCATGATATCTGATGAGCTGATGAACTGATGAACTGATTGATAACAGATAACATCGAAGTTCAACACATGGCCGGCGATTGCCGAAAGTTGAACCATGACCAAACAAAGACAAACAATCAACGATTTTCAACATTGTCCTTCAATTGTATTGTTTCTTTGAAACTTCATTCTAGT